CCCCCACAGCTTCCTGGGGCAACCTGGTCCAGTGTCTGACCACCCTCACAGTGAAGAACTTCTTCCTAATATCTAATCTAAACCTCCCCTCTTTCAGTTTAAACCCATTTCCCCTTGTTTTGTCATTAACCGCCCTTATGAAAAGTCCTTCCCCAGCTTTCTTGTAGGCCCCTTCAGGTACTGGAAGGCCACTATGAGATCCCCCCAGAGCCTTCTCTTCTCCAGGCTGAACAGCCCCAACTCTTTCAGCCTGTCTTCATAGGAGAGATAGCAATGGCACTGGGTATCACTCATTTGCATATTTTATTACTAGTATAATTATAATTATAATTATTATTTTAATAGCAGTATTATGTTTTCTTTTATTTCAATGATTAAGTTGTTCTTATCTCACCCTACGAGTCTCCTTCCCTTTGCCCCCCAATTCTCTCCCCTGTCCCCTGGGCAAGGAATGAGCAAGCAGCTATGTTTGGCTGCATCCAAGTGCTGGCCAAGTGCAACCACCACACACTTTAAGTTTAAAAGACTAACACCTGCTTAGATTTAGTAAACAGATAATTTTAAGTTTATCTCATTTTATCAACTAAGTACATTTAGTTGTTAATCTTAGAATAATTCGAATATTCAGAGCGCTGCAGTTTTGAGGAAACCAGTTTCTTCCTTCCAAGCACAACAGAGAAACTGCTTTTTGGTATTTATGTAAAAAGGTCAGTCAGTGCAGCAGAACGCTTGGGGAATCTGTTCATCCATCAGCTTCTGCTTTTACCAAAAGTCCCCATTTGTCTCTGAAAGGCAAAATTTTACCTGGTTTCTTCCTATCCTCTCCAACATTCACTCTGGGGAACTGTTACTCATGTCCCGGTCCGTATACTTTCCCACTCCTTTTTCCTATCACAATTTAACACTAAAAGCTTTTTAATATTTGAAACTTAATATCTTACTTCTGTAGCACATTTTCCTTCGTTTGAAATTTAAAACTGTTATGTTTTTTGATGAATTTATTGTCAAGTTGAGCTGCATTAGTATTGTGACCTCAGAGTCGAGTCTGCCAGTGCAGGAGAGTTCGACGCGAAACACTGCAAACAGACAACAAAGAGGCGTTACAATTAACTTCGAGCACTTTTCAGACACTGTGGTGAAAGAATATTTAAATCATGTTTATAATGTATCTTTTTAAACAACTTGCTATTAAGAAATGCTATTTTAGCCTTCATGCCTTGTAACTTTGACAACTTCAGACAACTATTAAAAGAATTAAAGGGCACAGATTTTTATATTAATTTATGTGAGCTATATTAGAAGTTTAGAGATTACTAAAATTGTATCTGTGGAGAAGTGACCATTAGCCAGGCATCAGCTTTGGAGCTAAAGTGCTGTCACAAGAGAAACCTATTATCACAGAAAACCAGAAAATGTTGTTTTCTTTATTGCTTTTCCAAATGCTATGAAGTTTAGCTTTTTTCACAACTATTAAGTTTAAATACTTCGGTCTCTGCAAATCTGACTGGAATCAAAGCTTAAACTAATATGACATTATTTATTTTCTAGCTCATATAACAGCATTATTTATGCCAACACAGCAGACACAACAAGCCTAATTCCCCAGTGGTTGCTTTCACAAAAAGTGGTACAAAACCAAAACATCAATATGTATTTTATAGCCTCTTGAGTATCTAAGAGAGCATATGGCAGTGAGGAACCAGAGCTCAATGAGCAAGGAATGATGATCATTTGCACATTTCTTGAAACAAATTTAGTTGTTTCTAGTATAAATCCTATGGAGGAGCTAATACAGATTCAAAATAGTTTTCTCAGGTTTAAAATTTACCATAAACACTTTAACATAGTAACAACTACCACACATTTTGAAATGTCATCTCTATAGGCCAGAAAAATCAAAAGTTGTGGATTTTAAAATCCATGCAATTGTTAATTATTACTGTTGAAAGGGAACAGGAACCTTATGTACATACATGTATTATACATATAAATATATGTATATATACATACAAAAGAAATGTCACATTTTCTTTCCAGGAAAAATCTCTATCCCACTAAACAAGCAGAAAAATATCACTCTCGGACTATTAGTCTGAGAGTGTAATTCCCTTTGAGCAATGTCATAACTGTTGCAGAAGACCAGCAAAAATATTATGTTTAATATAGAAAAGATACACTTCTACACAACACTATACACATTTTGGGAAAAAACCAAGGTACCACCAGAAAGAATTATTAGCATCAGCACTAGTTGTACATGTTCAGGAGGTGGAATGTTTCTTTACCTGAAAGGGTGCGAGGAACTTCTCCTTGTAGAGAAATGTTGGCCTGGGGCATAGCCATGGCCATGGGATTATCTACCTGAAATCCCAGTTTATACTCAACCTGTAACAACAGTTGGGAGATGCAAGACATATTAAGAAACTTCTATAGTAGTAAAAAGAAATGTTACTTACCCTTTGATAATCTCTTTCTTGAAATCAAAAAACTGTATCTTATTTTCAGAGAATATTGTTGATTTTAGATGCCCAAATGCAAGGTTTCTTATACAAAGCCTAAATATCAGACTTTTGCAACAGTTCAAATTAAGAAAGCCAAAACAGAAGACACACTTGAAATAATTCTTGAAAACCTGAGCCAGAATTTAAAGTGTTGTATTAAAAAAACCCACCACAAACCTCACTCACTGATACTTTCAAACTTACAAAGTTCAAAAAACAGTTTGTTAAAACCAGAGGAATTAAAAAAAATTCCCGTTCCTCTAGTTAGTTTTATAAACTATACAGCCAAAACTGCTTACAAACAATGTATTCAACTATAGTCAAGATTTTGTTTCCACTTAAGAAGCTGATAGCTGATTCTGCAAAATATTCATTCCAAAAAAAGTACAGGGCCTACTGTAACTAAGTCATAAATTCTTGTTGGAAATTCACCCTATCCACTCAGATGAATGAATTTGGTTTGACTTTGTACGCTCCATTATTTTATTCCCCCCCCCTTTCTAAAACATAATAGGATGCATTTATGTTATCAATTTATTTTTCAGGCAAGATGCCAAGGGCAGAAACATAACCCAGTTTCTGAGCTCCTACAAACTGCACTACCTCCATCCTATAAAATCAGCACAGAAGATGTCAAGTGGTGCAATCACAGTAAGGGAAGCAAGGCTACACAAGCTCAAAAACTGCTGTTCAAAATTCAACAACAGGCCTGAGGGAATTCAGGGCAGGGACAGTGATGCAGAAAGCTTATAGCTGAAGTTGTAACAACAAGGAAACTCCTTCGAAGGTTCTATTCAGATAGCAAGTGACTGAATTGAGAGGTGGGGGTGGGTCTGTTCAACCAAGGAACAAGTGACAGGACAAGAGGAAATGGCCTCAAGTTGCACCAAGGGCAATTGAGATTGGATGTGAGGAAGAATTTCTTTGCTGAAAGGGTTCTGAGGCATTGGAAGGGGTTGCCCAGGGCAGTGGTGCAGTTCCCATCCCTGGAGGGATTGAAGAGTCGTGTAGACACAGTGCTGAGGGACATGGTTTAGTCGGGGACTTGTCAGTGTTGGGTCAACAAATGGACTCAATGATATTAAAGGTCTTTTCCCATCGAGGCCATTCTGGGATGCTGGGATTCTGTAACTGCCAGTGAAGGTGGAATAATGGCAAGTAGAGAGCCAGCTTGCACTGTACCCAATACCGTTGCAGGTCAAAATTCACTTCTCGTAAGAAATTACACCTCAAAGGGAAGAACACTGGCAGAATGAATCTTCAGAAACTGCACTGGTGGAGTTGTTAAATATTACTGTTCCTACTGGAGTCTTTCCTACTTAAGGACAGAAGAATAACCATTGCTCAATTTTAAAAAAGAAAAAGAATTAACATCTGGCACTAAACAGATTATTTCATATACATAAATTGTTAAGTAACCGGAAATCCTTCAAAATGTAAGAGCATATGCAATCTTTAGGACAGCTGTTGCTGCATGCTCCAGCCATTTTAATTAAGTGAAATAAAAATCCCTTTCCATTTAATCGAGGTTCGGCAATAATATACTAGATGCTACTTTTATAGGTTTTTCTTGTCTCCAAACATGTTTCTAGAAATGTCTCAAACACAATTGCTCTACATTTGATTTCCAGAAGCTTCAGTTCATGGCTGCCCTTTCTGTGTGTTCAGTGCAACACCAGAAGAGATTCCACAGCCAGCAGCTTTTATGTGTATGTGTATATACACATACACACGCATATACATACATGTAGCTTGCCAGAAGCAAGAAGTATAACATACTTCAAAAGAAGTGCTTAACCTTTCTAAAACAAGAAGATTCTAAAACAATCTTAACTTACTGCCTGCCATCATATAAGTAATTCTTTCACACCTAGCATATGCTGATTTTTGCACAGAAAAAAAGACATTAAATTATAATAGTGAGTATTCACTAAGCAGTACAGCTCACATATCAAGTACTCAAAGACAGCAGTTATGCCTGCTTACCTTGGATTTAGCATGCCAGCTGAAGTGAAGATTATTGGTCTCACTGGGTATTAAGAGATTGAAGGACAACGCATAGTGATTAACCACATCATTCCTCACGTAAGACAACTCTGCATCTAGACCTGTAATGAGAAAGAAAAGAGTATGATGAGGAAGAACAGGACCAGCAGTAACACACCAGAACAAACAACTCTCAGAACCACCAGCTTCACTTGAACGTTGAAGCAAATACTTCCTGAAGTCCATAAATCCAATTACAGGTTTGGAGATCAGTGCTTCATGCATGTCAGCATTAACAAGACCACTTCAAACTCGTACAAAGCAACAATTTCAGAGATGCTACAGCCTCATAAACAGGTAAGAGCTGGAATGTAATAGAAGGAAACACAAAATCCTCCAAAAGAGTCATTACAGACTCTCCTGAACACACCCTTGTCTGCTTCTGGGAATCACAGGTCCAGTTTTGCCCTTGTTTACAACTGTCTACACTGAAAACAAAGTGCTTTGGATTATCAGATCATTAACTGCAGGTAATTCTTCCTGGAATAGCTCATTTCTTGAGCTGAGACACATAAGCACTATGGAATTAACTTCAGGTTAATTAGATCAGAACACAAAGCACATAAGGAGAGGAGGAATGACATTTGTACACCAAGTAATACTAATATTTAGTGTCTACCCTTTGCTTTCTGGACTTTTAAATAAACCAAGATAATTGGAAGACCCACAAAAATATTACAGAGCACTAAAGTCCATTTTCCTAAATAAGACATACTCTGATACTAAAAATACTGAAGCTGCCATCATCTTTTGCTGCACACATCCCAAGGTCACAACACTCCATACAGGGCAGGACCCTACAGCTTGCCCTGGGTGTCATTAGCAATTAGTGGTAAAGTAAACATTACAATTTAACCCCCTTCCCTGCAGCCACAAAATTAATTCCAGCTCCATATCCTCAGGACAAAACTACACTGTATTGGTAATCATTCCCATTTTGCCTTGTCTCACACAGCTTTTCCTCCATTGCTCCCAGTTAAATGCTATCCAGGCTCAGCAACATATTGACATGCTAAGAAAACAACCAGTCAAATCAACCAGAGGTGCCCACTCCAAGAGGGATCTACACAGAGGGAACTGAGTTCAATTAAAATATTCACTGTATGATCAGGAAGGCAAATAATGAAGTTATTTTTATTATGGCTAGAAAGTCAAGAAAACTGGAAAGGCTGTGACTCCAATACGACAGCATTTAAGGCATCCTGAAGTTATTACAAGAATCTAGGGAAACATGAAAGGGTTTTATTATTTTTTTTTAGGAAAGAGAAAAAAAAAGAAAGATAATTATTGAACCATGTAGACAAGCTGCATTTGAAGAAAGAAAGAATCAGCTTGAGAGAAATAATTCCTTCCATTTAGTGCAAAAACTGGGCACATATCAGTGCAAAGTGATAAGCGTTCTCTTATTCCAGACCCTGATTTAATCCACCTCGTTTTCACAAGATACAGAAATGCAGCCAAGACATTCCTCTTCATTCTTCTTCCTGTTAACCACTTTAACTCCCTGCTGGCTCATTAGTGTCCTGAAACTTAATCAAAACCCAAGAGTATATAATTACAAATAGTGGGGGATGGCAAAGGGAAGAACCCTAGGAACAGGATGCATAAAAGGAATCAACAGAACAGTAATTCCAGGGAGAAACGCTCTCAAACAAGACCTTGAACAGAAAAAGATGCAGGTAACACCTTGAATGCTCAATATATTCAGCTTGAGACAGTATAGTAAAAAAAGTTAAACTTTTATTCTTTAATTTGTCCGTATTTCCATTCAATAATAAATGGCAAAAGCATATCCACCAGTCAAATAATGAGGAGGAGGAAGCACACACACACCCCTTGAAACAGAATAAAATTTTGAAAACATGTAAAAGAAACAGTAAACTTCCAAAATACCTTGCCCAGATAATTTTTACATGTGTAAATGTTTATATACGCAATCTACCTCAGACTTAGGAAATGTGGAAAAAGCGTAGAGACATGGACAAGCACTCACAACTATCAGACATTTGCCATTAGATCTGATCAAGAAGATGGGAAGCTTTATGAGCATAAACTTACTAAATAAAGTATTCCAATTAAACACAATTAAGTACAAGTTATTTAAAAAGATCAGGAAGACAAAAGGATTAGCAGGTGAAACAATGAAACTGCTTTTGGAATAAAGAAAACCTTCTCTCGCTGATAAATGGTCACACCAGCAATTAGAGGTTCACAAAAACATTTCAGAACTTGTAACATCATGAAATTTTCAAGGTGATAAACCTTGATTTAATATAAACTTTGTACAGAAACTGGTCATACAAATCAAACGAGTACACAGCAGTAAAACTGTTATAAAAACTGGCCTTTATAAAAGTAATGTAAAAGGCAATCCAAATTGAAGCTGTCAAGCATAAATATCTTGATGTGCAATAATAGCTAAACGTGTACGAAACCAAATTACCCTGCAGAAGATCTATCAAATCTTTAAGCTCTAATAGAGGTACAACACCAAGTAATTTCATTGTATAGACCACTCATGTTTTCATGCCTGTAGTGCCATAAAAAGCTGCACACTAAAAGGCAATGCTAATTAGATGAATTTCAACAGCATCATGTAAGAGCAGCAAATCAATGTCAATTTTATTACTTCAAAAAATTATGCTCTAGCTAAAAGATTGGCATACAGAAATAATTTAAGAGGTTTTGCAGTGTAGCTCAAGTCAAAAAAAGGCAGATTGCCTGACTTAGTATCTTGTTTGTATCAGGGGTCTACAGAAAACACCAAGGGAAGAATATAAAACCAAAGTAAATACACAGTGACACTTTACCAGTAAATCCTCTGCCCTTCTAGTGTTTTTGAGGGTCACAAATTTCCTAAATTAACAGGCAGTATCTTCCAACAGCTTCTCACTAGAGGTTTTTTCTTCTGTGAATTTGGATAAATGCTTTCTCAAACCTTGGAAACTGATAGATACGTACCTGGGAAATGCCAGTGTTTCGATACTGCATGGTATTTTTTTTTCCTTTTAAGTTGATCAACAATTAAAATATTTCCTCTATAGCAACTTTTCCCATCAGTGAACTACAGATAAAATCCAATTTGCCATGCACAGCTAAGAACCTGTGTCCACACCAGACAAGCAAGCTCCCACCTCCCTACCTCCAATCCACCATGGTCCAGTTTTCCTTCTAGACCATCCTCCCATCCCTAATTTTTTCATCCCCTCGCTGCCTCCTCCACCTCATTCCTGAATTCCTGAAGCACTCTGTCTATATAATTTATCACAATCAGGCCAGCAAAACACACAAAAAATTACAGCTGCACCTGCCAGTCAAAAAAAGCACCCTGCCTGCGCTCTGGGCAGGCAGCCAGGCAGGAAGGTGTGTTCTGCCTGACACAAAGGAGCCCAGGTGCCGATCAGCGATGCCGGGAGCTGCACTGCGTCCCGGCTGTAAGGTACGTACAGGTATGGAACTGCACAGGGCACCGCAGCGAACAGTGGGGAAAGCCAGAGCTGGAGCTCACTGAATGGTTACTCGATTGGAGTATTTTTGATGCAGGCTGCCATTGCTTCACTCACTGCACTCCTGGGCCTCCTGTCTTTTGTGGGTCTTCCACTTAGAGGAAGAGAAAATTTCCCCACATCCACAAAAATTGCCTGTGCGTGCTCAAGAGCTCCGTAGTGGGTGGACTCAACTTCTACAGTTAATAGATTTTAACAAACATAAGATATTGTCCTGGTCTGAGCTGGGCCAGAGCTGGTTTCTGTTCAGCAGCTAGAACAGCGCTGGGGTTTGGGTTCAGCTGGGATTTGTTAGGAGAGAAACACTGAGAACATCCCCATGTTGGCATTTGTGTCACTGGGAGTGAAGGACTTTGTGTTTTGTCAGTCTGCAAGTGCAAGATCTAAGGGGGTGAGGAATATTGAAATGAATCAGCTCAGTTGGCATTTGGCTCTGCCAATGGGCTGTTCCATCTCCTGTCCCCCATGGGCAGGACATTCATGAGGGGCTCTTCCTCTCTTGCTCTCTCTGGCTTTCGCTCGGGCTCTCGCTCTCCCGGGATTGCGGTTTCGGTTCGGGATTGTCACTCCTCCGGGATCGTTATCTGGGAATGAGCCGGGCTTGGTCAGCAGGTGGTGAGCAATGGCACTGGGCATCGCTCATTTCCATATTTTACTACTATTATCATAATTATTTTAATATGAGTATTATGTTAAGTTTTCTTTTATTTCAA